GTGCTCCCTCCCACTGAAGCTCTCTACTCTAATCCTATTTCCTGCTCTTTCCCCATCGTGTCTGTGCTGGTGCTCACTTCTCCACTGAGCTCGTTCCTCTATCCCATTTCTTGCTCTTTCTCCATGGTGTCTGTGAGGTTCTCACTCTTCCCCAATATGAGAATGTGTTGTGGCTGGGAAGAGTAGGGAATGGGATTAGAGTCGAGATAGAGCAGAGCATACGTTGGTGGCTGAGCCTGGGAGTCAGTGGGGGCTGTTAGTGCAGATGGTTGAGGTTATGGAGCAACGATTGGTTTTGCTCTCTTTTTCTCTCCTTCCTTGTTTGCAAGGCAAGAGTCTCCAGCTATAATGGCCCTTGTGGTTTCCTCAGACAACAGTGAGCGCAAAAGCCATCAGGCGTCATAGAGCACGGCAGCCTGGCTGCTGAGTGTGCTCGAAAAGTGCTGTCTAAATGTAATTTTGTTGTTGTTGTTAGCCACTGTAATTGCGACTCCTAGTTCCAGATAATTTATAAAAATATTGATCAAAAGCAGTCCCAAAACAGCCCCTTGTGGAAGTCCACTTGTAACATTTTTCCCAGTCTGATGACATTCTCTGTAACACCAGCCTCTGGGTTCTTCCAGTCAAACAGTTGCGTATCTATCCATTGTAATAGTTGTATATGAACTAGGGTGCAAGGGTTGACCACAGCGGGGCAAGAAGAGAAACCCGGGGAGAGCTCCAGGAGCCAATTTGAGGCTGATGTGGGAGTTGAGTAGTGTCAGCAAGGCCTCTGGGAGCGAGGTCGGCAAGAGCTGGCAGATAACGGCAGGGCTGAGGTCTCGGGGATTCGAACCAACAGGTAGTGGCAGGCAGGGGCGAAGTCTCGGCAGCCATTTCACAATCTCCTGACTAAACCCCTGTGCAACGTCATTTCTCCCCACCAGGTTTAAATCCCTGGAACCAGGCATAGTACAGTCTATTAGTATCTCATTCCCCTCCTCTGTCTTTTCCCTGCAGGCTGCTTGGTGTTATCTTCCAGGTTGGGCAACCTGGTGGATAACACAATGAGTGCTCTCCCCACTCTGCGCCACCTCTAGCCCCTGCAGTCTTCATGTCTGTGGGCTGACTATGCCCCACTAACCACCCGCCTCACATCTCGGCGTGTGCATAAAATGATAATCCTTGCATTTGATATAGCGCTTTTCACGTCGGGAGGACATCCCAAAGCGCTTCACAGAACACACTGTAAAGTGAATTGACTATTTTTTTTGTGGGCGAACGTGGCAGCCAATTGCGCACAGCAATGTCCCACAAACGTCGTAGATTGAAAATGACCAATTTATTATTGTTGGCTGCTGCCCCTGACCCAAGCTGCTTTTCCCCAAAAATGCTCCCTACCTGCAACGCTCCCTCTCTGTCCTCCTCTCCTCTGTCCTCCTCGCTTCTGATTCCCTGTGCTCCAGCCTGGGAATCCTCCGTCGGGCTCACCGTGGCACTCGGCAATGGCTGTCCACATGAACTGCCCCATTCCCACTAACACCGCAAGCCCCGCTGGACCCAGACCCCGAGGGTCAATCTCTCCTCCTTCATCCGCATTCCCAACCTCCCTGCTTATCCCTCCACCACATCCTCCCATCTCACACATTCCTCTGCCAACTGTCCCCTCTGCATCGGCCTACAAAATGTCCGCTCCCTTTCTAACAAGGCTCTTGCCATCAATGATAAAGTCGTTGATGAAAACATTGATATTCTGGCCTTTATTGAAACCTGTATCACCCCCGGTGACATCTTCCCCCTGATTGAGGCCATACCACCTGACTATACCTTCTACCATACCCCACATCCTAACCGTCGTGATGGTGGTGTGGCCTTTATCTCCAGGTGCTCACTTGCTCTATCCCCCTACTCCTCTGGCTCATTCCCCTCCTTCAAGCACCTTACCCTTTACCATCCCTCAAAATTCTCCTGATTTATTGTCCCCCCCAAACCCTCCCCCATCTTCATCTCTGACATCTGGGCTCTCCTAGCTTCCCTTTTGCCTCTGTTCTGAACGCCTTTTCATCCTAGGCGACTTCAACCTGCATTTCACCACCTCTTGCTCTATCTCCACCGACTTTTCCTCTCTCCTTTCCTCTCACAACACCTCCCTCCACATCCACTCTACCACCCACATTCAGGGCCATCCATTCGACCTGGTGATTACCTAGGGCCTCAGTGTCTCGGACCTCACAATCACTGATTAAACCATCTCAGATCACCATTTCATCTCCATTAACTCCTCAATCCCTCTCCCCACCGCCACCCAACCCACCTCCATCTCTTACCGCGGATGGAAAAGAATCTCCCTGCACTCCCTATCCACCGCCCTGGAATTGTGTGAACTCGATTCTGGCCTACCTACCACATCGAGTTATCCTCCTTGGTCATTCCCCTCCACAACTCCCTCTCCACCATGCTTGATGCCCTTGCCCCTCTCACCTCCCGAACCACCTCCTACTCAAGAACCTCACCCTGCAGCTTATGGTCACTCAAGGGTCAGGTGGTGCTGCCAAATGCACCTGGCTCAAATCTGATTTCATGGCCCATCGGCAGATCTGGCTGGACCACATAAAAACTTACCAGTCCACCCTCTCCTCCACTAAATTGTCCTTCTAATCCAAGCTAATCTTGGAGGCCAAGGACAACACTAGGCGCCTCTTCTCCACTGCCAACCGACTCCTCCGTCAAGCCTCTCATGCCTCTCATGCTTTCTCCAACTCCAATCGTCTTTCTGTTCATTTGTGACCAGGGCACCCTCTGTCTCCTCATGCTCCTCGACCTCTCTGCTACCTTTGGCACTGTGGGCCACTCTATCCTCCTCCACCTCCTTTCCTCTCATCTTAACTTTCAAAGTTCGGTCCTTGTATGGTTCAGATTCTAGCTCTCACATCGGCTCTATCTTTATTAGTATAAAGATATAAGAAGATAAGAAGATATGAGGGAAAAAAAAGTGGTTAGTCGATTTGCAAATTGCTGTTCCGGGGGTACTCAGCCCCACTCTCTGGAACTCCATTCCACAGTCCCTCCGCCTCACTGCCTCCCTTGCCTCCTTCAAGACCTGTCTCAAGACCCTCCTCTTCGACCTTGCCTTTGATCACCCTCCTTCCCCCCCCAATCCTGACCCCCAGCTAGGGTCTGAAACACTGATTGATCAGTGCATTGGGACATCCTCCCAACGTGATAGGTGCTATACAAATGTAATTCTGCTGTCGTCGTTGTTGTAATAATGCCTTAAAAAAAAATTAATAATAATTTGGTCACCTTGTCCACGACTGTTTGTGGGACACTGCTGTGCGCAATTGGCAGCCACATTCTGCCCACAAAATACACAGTCAATTCGCTTCACAGCATATTCTGTGAAGCGCTTTGAGGTGTCTTGAAGACCTGATAAGGCTCTGCATCAAATGCCAGGATTATTATTAATCTAATCCAGGGGTTTGGCTCTTTATATCTGGAGTAATGCACCCCTCAGAGTGGGAGTCACTTGCAAACTGGATTCTCATCCTGGGGTTCGGGGCTTATGAGTTGGGAGTCTGATCGGAGAGGGTTGGGGCGGGGGTGTTGTCAGATGGGTGAGTTAAAGAGAGGTTGATATATGATGTGCTCATGTCTGGCCACTGGGTGGCAGTGGCAAACAATTTCCCCCAGGGCCATTCCCTCCCCTGCCCTAACGCTCACCCTCCCGTTCCCCTCCCCAGCACCCTTTTTGGGGGGTCAGTCGGGTGCCTGACACATGCAGAAACCCCTCACTGCTTAAGAGTCTCCAAACAAAACTGAGAATTCCATGCATCCCATCTACACCTGGAAATCCCAGAGATAAGACTGTTGGAATGGAATGCAGGGCGAACCGTTGGGAAGTTTCCTTAATCCACACGCCTCTGCTTACCGAGCAATAATTAGGAACCCAGTTGTTAGTCGATTGGCAGATTGCTTTTCCGGGGTAATAATCCCTTTTAAAAAAATAATAATCTGGTCATGACTGTTTGTGGGACACTGCTGTGTGCAACTGACTGCCGCGTTTTACCTCCAAAATACAGTCAATTCACTTGACACTATATTCTGTAAAGGGCTTTAAGACGTCTCGAAGATGTATCTCAAATATCAAATGCAAGAATTATTATTATTGTAGAACATCCACACTCAACACACCCTAACACACAGCCACCCCCTCACCCACAGAACATCCTCATCCAATCCCCCCACCACCCCAATACACCCACAGAACATCTTCACCCACACCCTATGTGAGGGAATGCAGATGTGTGTACGAAAGGATGTAGAGAAGGTGTGTAAGGGATGTAGAGGGGTGTGTGTGTGATAGCGTGTAGTTGAGCGAGAGGATTCCCTACAAATCACCCCCAGTGATTGGTCTGCCCCTCCAAGTTCTGCCAACGAGCCAGGCTGGGCTGTGCTGTCATCAGCAATGCCCTGGAATACCAGTTGGTCGTTTGATATCCAAGCGTTGGTGTGAGCCCTCCTTAGGTGGATAGTAGGTACTAGGAAGTTCCTGTGAGTTTCCCAGTGGGCAACAAAGCTCAGCATGAAATACGTGAGCATTGCTACCAACTTCCCGTTCACAGCTAGGAACACATCCCTTCCCATTGAGCGATGGTTCCACCAGTTGGAGGTGTGGAGTTCAGGTAGCAGCTGCTTACCTCTCTGCAAACCAATCAAGGTGGATTCCAGGCGTTGGACTTTCGAACGTGTGCTCATGAACTCAGACTCCAGGTAACGCCTTCCAGCAGCTGTCGCCCCAAGCCTCAGAGTGGCAGCTGTGCTGGGTGCTTGTGTACAGGTAAAAGCCACAGATCAGAAACCAGCAGACTCAAAGAGGTGAATAGGAACTTTAATGACACAATTTGATTTCCACCTCCAGTCTCAATTACCCCTCTCGTCCTCGTCACTGTGGCGATGCCCTCGTGAACGGCAGTGCACACAGCTCTCGTGCAAAAATGTCCTCGTGCTAATCGGCTCTTGTGGAATCCACGGCAGCGTTGTCCTCACCGCAGTGCAGTGTGCTGCTCCACCGCGGTGAGCGAGAGAGAACTCAGGCCCGGCCGGGTTCGGCGTGTGCACGTGCAGGAGAGGGCGCAGAGACAGACAGACTCATGTCCCTGTGTCGAGAGAGCCTTGTCCCGGTGACGATTCGGCAGTGCCGGTTAGAGGGCAGCTATCTCTGCTGTGTCAGAGAATCCACGGATGTAGTGGAGTCACCGTGTCCTGAAGTAAGCGGGACCTCGACGGCGGGAAGTGTGGGCTTTCCTTCGGAAGTGTTGGGTGGAACGTCGGGGGCTGGTACACCAGGAGATACGTCGGGGGCTGGTACACCAGGAGTTACTTCGGGGGTTGGTACACCAGGAGATACGTCGGGGGCTGGCAGACCTGGGTTCAGTCCTGGCTCAGGGAGCGCTCCCTGTGGCATCTTGCTCTCGTACTCGGAGATTCTCTTCTGCACGATGGTGGGCATGAGCTGCACGTATGTGCCCATGAGCCGATGGTTGGTGCGGATGAGTTTACCGGCACAGCTGCTCACACAGTGCTCCTGCACACAGAGAGAGGGAACGCAGGTCAACGCTGGCCAGCCACACACTGATCTGAGGCTTATTAAACACAGGGGCAATAACATGGGGGAATTACATGTGGCAGTCTAACGTGTGAGGAGGTGTAGAGGGGGTATAGAGAGGCTGTAGAGCAGGTACAGAGAGTGTAGCGAGGGTGTTTAGAGGGGCTGTGAGTTCGTAGAGGGGGTGTGAGTGTCTAGGGGGGTGTGAGTGTATAGAAGGGTGTGAAGGGTGTAATGAGGGTGTTGAGGGGCTGTGTAATAATATTAATTCTTGCATTCTTGCGACTTATGATGTCTTTGAGATGTCTCAAAGCACTTCACAGAATATACTATATGTCAAGTGAATTGACTTATATTTTGTGGGTGACATGAGGCAGCCAATTGCGCACAGCAGTGTCTCACAAACAGTCGTGGATTGAAGTGACCAATTTTTTTTTGGTGTGTGTGGGGTGGTGGGGGAGTGGTGTGTGTGGTGGTAAGTGATGTGTGTGGGGCGGATGGGGGAGTGAGTGGTGTGTGTGTGTTGGGGAGTGTAGTGTAGTGGTGTGTTTGGGGTGTGGTATGGTGTGGGGAGGAGTGGTGTGGGGATGGGGGTGTGTTGTGAGTGTGTGTGGGGGAAGTGGTTTGTTTGTGTGTGTGTGAGGGGAGTGCGGTGTGCAATTGGAGGGAAGTGGTGTGTATGTGGGAGGGGGGGGGAAGTGATGTGCGTGTGGGTGGGGGAGTGGTGGTTTGTGCATGTGTGGGGGGGCGAGTGGTGTGTGTGAGGGGGGAAGTGATGTGAGTGTGGGTGGGGGATGGTGTGTGTGTGGGTGGGGGGAGTGGTGGTTTGTGTATGTGTGGGGCGGAATGGTGTGTGTGAGGGGGGAAGTGATGTGCATGTGGGTAGGGGGGGTGGTGTGTTTGTGTGTGGGAGGTGGGTGTGGTGGGATTGCTCACCTCCTGCACTGTCACACTGCGGTAGTTGAGGTTACTAATGCACTTGTTGAAGCAAATTTCTGTCATTTTATTGTAGACGAGGAGGAAATCCCGGAGCTGGGAACCAATAGAGAGATATTAGCACAAGCCACCCCCACCACACACACACACACAACCCCGCCACACGCACAATCCTCGGCCCCCACACATACAGACACAACCCCCGCTACACACACAACCCCGCCACACAAAACCCCTCTCCCCCACACATAGAACCCCTGCCCAACATACACGCACAACCCCTCCTCCCAAATAACCCCTGCTTCTCACTCACACCCCTGCCCCACACCACACGCACAGCCAACCCCCCACACACACAACCCCTTCCCCCCCACACTCACACACAAACCCCCACCCCCCACACACATACACACAAGCGCTCCCTACACACAGCCCCTACCCCCAAACAACCCCTGCCCCACACGCACAACCCCTCCTCCCCACACATACAACCCCTTCTCCCACACACAAACCACCTCACACCACACACAACCCCCCCCTACAGACACAACCACACAACCCCCTCCAGACACACAAACCCCCCACAAAAAAACCCTCCTCACATACACAAACACCTCCTCCCCCTCTCTACACAAAGAACTCCCGCTCCACAAGCACAACACCTCCTCTCCCACACAAACACCCCCCACACACACAACTCCCTCCACACACATGCATCTCACCCCACACACACAACTCCCCCCACCACACACAGACAACCCTCTCCACAGATATACAACCCTCCCGCCCCCCCCACACACAACAACAACAACAAAATTACATTTTAAAGTGCCTTTCACATCTGGAGGACTTCCCAAGGCGCTGAACAGTCAGGGATCAGGACCCGAGCGGGTGGGGGTGCAGGGTTGGGATGAGGGAGGGTAGTGGGTGGGAGGGCGGCTGAAAGCACAGTCGAAAAGGTGGGTCTTGAGTTGTGCCTTGAAGTAGGCAAGAGAGGAAGCAAAGCAAAGGGATTGTGGGATGGAGTTCCAAAGGGTGGGGGCAGAGAGGCTGAAAACCCGGTCGCTGATGGTAGGGCAGGTTGGGCGGGAGACATAAAGCAGGTCGGAGCCTGCAGATCGGAGGGAGCGGACTGGTTGATAGGGGTCAGAGAGGTAGGAGGGGGCAAGGCTTTGGAGGGCCTTGAAAGTGAGGACGAGGAATTTGAATTCTATCCTCTGAGGGATGGGGAGTCAGTGGAGCCGGGTGACGGTGGGAGTGATAGGGTCAAAGGTTTCAATGGCCTGATGGGTGAGGCAGTGGTGGAGTTGGACCATGTTGCGGAGGTGGGGGAAGGCAGAGCGGGTCATGGCATGGATATGAGGGAGAAAGGACAGTTGAGGGTCTAACAAAACACCCAAGTCAAGTTCCTGACTGGCTTGGTGAGGTGGAGTGTACATCCGTGGATGCTGATCCCGCCAGTGCCTGTGGTGCGGAGGCGCTGGCACGAGCCAATCAGTAGGACCTCGGTCTTGCTGACATTCAGCTGTAGAAAGTTGGCTTTCATCCACAGCTTGATGTCTGACAGACAGCCTGGCAGGATGTCAGGTGTCCTGGAATCGAGGCAAAGAGATAAGAGTTGGGTGTCATCCGCGTAAATGTGGAAGTTGACCCCATGTCTGTGGATTATGCCACCAAGGGGAAGCATGTAGAGGTTGAAGAGGAGGGGACCGAGGACAGAGCTCTGAGGAACAACGCACGCGACTGTGCAGGAGTTGGAAGAGAAACCGTTGGCGGAGACAAATTGGAGACAATGTGAGAGATAAGACCGGAACCATTCAAGGACAGAACCTTGAAGGTTGAGATGAGAGGAGAGGCGGTGGAGGAGGATGGAGTGGTACACAGTATCGAAGGCAGCAGAAAGGTTGAGGAGGACGAGGAGGCAGAGGGAGCCCTGGTCACAGACGACAGGTTGTCGTTTGTGACCCTGACCACTGCAGTTTCTGTGCTGTGAGCACCCGCGGGTGTACACGCACACAACCACTTCACCACCACACCCAAACCCCACACCACCCTTCCCCTACACACACAACTTCCCCTCACAGAACCAACCACCCCACCCCTCACATAACCCACCCTCCCCAACAACAACTTTGTTTATATAGCGCCCTCCATGCCGGACGGCGTCTCAGTGCGCTTCACAATAACGGAACCCAGGGACGAGCCAGGGGGAGGGGGAAGGTGACCAAAGGTGCGGTCAAAAAGGTCTTCATCCGAGAACAGAAAATAGGAAGAGAGGGGGCGAGGCTAAGGAGTGTTAGTGATGATGGAGTGGAGGATTCGGGGGATAAGGAGGAGGCCAGACCCGGTGGAGCGAAGACAACGGGCACTGCTGTGAGGATAGAGGAGGTCAGAGAGTCACATCTCCTCACTCAAGACTAGGCTCTAGATTACGAGGCACAGTAAAGCTCCCTCTACACTGTCCGTCCACACTCCCAGGTCAGGGTTAGAGACGCAGTAAAGCTCTCTCGACACGGTCCGTCCGCATTCCCAGGTCATGGTTAGAGACACAGTAAAGCTCCCTCTACACTGTCAGTCCATCCTCCCAGGTTAGACAATAAAGCTGCTACTGATACTTACATTGCGCATCTGTCCATCTGGCTCCATGGCAGCAGGGTGGCCCTCTCTCTCTATCGCTCTCTGATGTAACAGGGATTTTCTGGCTGTCAGCTTGAGATGTCTGTGTGTTTGTGCGTCTCTATGTCAGGCTGCAGATTTCTGATCTCAGGCCTTGTCTCTCAAACTCTTTCAGCTCATGGCTGTCTTGCCAAAGTGTTTATTTGTCTCAAAAGTTGTGATGTAATGCGTGTGTGAGCAGGCAGTGCTGGGGTAGTGCATGTGTGTTAATACCAGCTCCTCGCTTTCCTGGCCAGAATAAACTGTGAAGCTGGTCGGGGCCTCGTACTGAGACAGGGAGGCAGGCTCTATTTCTGGTCTTGGGTCTGTCCGGTGGGTTCAGGGAACCACTCAGCCAATGGTTTCTGTCTGCCTGGTCGTGCTATTCAGGTCTCTGTCTCTCTGTAGTTCGGTGCGTGAGTGTGTGTGTATATATACTGTTGATATGTATCGTGAGAGTCTGTGGTCACTGCCGTGTGTCTGAGTCTCAGTGTGTGTACAATATATCTGAGGGTGCCCAGTCACAATGTACACAGTGTATATATTATATCTAACATTAGTGTGTCTTGTCTCAGTATTTATATGGCACACTCAGTGTGTGAGTGTGTGAGCGAGCTGTGCTGCCTGACCTTGACTGGATGGTGTAGGCCCCTGGCGGGCAGTGGGATGGAAGCAATCTCCTCTCTTTGACAAGCTGTGTAGGTGAAATGGCCTCCTTGTGCGATGTAGATATGTACGTTTATATGAGTCTGTCAGCCGTACAGTTTCCACACTCTCCGTGTGTCAGTCTTTATTCCTCTCAAATAAAAAAAAGTCGATGGGAACACTCAGCAGGTCAGGCAGCATCTATGGAGAAAGTAAAGTGAGTTAACGGTTCAGCTCATAATTTATTCCTCTCAATGTGTGTGAGTGTATATTTCTGTATAACAGTGTGTGAGTGCATATTACAGTATAACAGTGTGAGTGTATATTACAGTATAACAGTGTGTGTGAGTGTATATTACAGTATAACAGTGTGTGAGTGTATATTACAGTGTAACAGTGTGTGTGAGTGTATATTACAGTGTAACAGTGTGTGTGAGCGTATATTACAATATAACAGTGTGTGTGTGAGTGTATATTACAGTGTAACAGTGTGTGAGTGTATATTACAGTATAAGTGTGTGAGTGTATATTACAGTGTAACAGTCTGTGTGTGAGTGTATATTACAGTGTAACAGTGTATGAGTGTATATTACAGTGTAAGTGTGTGAGTATATATTACAGTGTAAGTGTGTGAGTGTATATTACAGTATAACAGTGTGTGAGTGTATATTACAGTGTAACAGTGTGTGAGTGTATATCACAGTGTAACAGTGTGTGAGTGTATATTACAGTGTAAGTGTGTGAGTGTATATTACAGTATAACAGTGTGTGAGTGTATATTACAGTGTAAGTGTGTGAGTGTATATTACAGTATAACAGTGTGTGAGTGTATATTACAGTGTAACAGTGTGTGAGTGTATATCACAGTGTAACAGTGTGTGAGTGTATATTACAGTGTAAGTGTGTGAGTGTATATTACAGTATAACAGTGTGTGAGTGTATATTACAGTGTAAGTGTGTGAGTGTATATTACAGTGTAACAGTGTGTGAGTGTATATTACAGTGTAACAGTGTGTGAGTGTATATCACAGTGTAACAGTGTGTGAGTGTATATTACAGTGTAACAGTGTGTGAGTGTATATTACAGTGTAACAGTGTGTGAGTGTATATTACAGTGTAACAGTGTGTGAGTGTATATCACAGTGTAACAGTGTGTGAGTGTATATTACAGTGTAACAGTGTGTGAGTGTATATTACAGTGTAAGTGTGTGAGTATATATTACAGTGTAAGTGTGTGAGTGTATATTACAGTATAACAGTGTGTGAGTGTATATTACAGTGTAACAGTGTGTGAGTGTATATCACAGTGTAACAGTGTGTGAGTGTATATTACAGTGTAAGTGTGTGAGTGTATATTACAGTATAACAGTGTGTGAGTGTATATTACAGTGTAAGTGTGTGAGTGTATATTACAGTATAACAGTGTGTGAGTGTATATTACAGTGTAACAGTGTGTGAGTGTATATCACAGTGTAACAGTGTGTGAGTGTATATTACAGTGTAAGTGTGTGAGTGTATATTACAGTATAACAGTGTGTGAGTGTATATTACAGTGTAAGTGTGTGAGTGTATATTACAGTGTAACAGTGTGTGAGTGTATATTACAGTGTAACAGTGTGTGAGTGTATATCACAGTGTAACAGTGTGTGAGTGTATATTACAGTGTAACAGTGTGTGAGTGTATATTACAGTGTAACAGTGTGTGAGTGTATATTACAGTGTAACAGTGTGTGAGTGTATATCACAGTGTAACAGTGTGTGAGTGTATATTACAGTGTAACAGTGTGTGTGAGTGTATATCACAGTATAACAGTGTGTGAGGGTATATTACAGTGTAACAGTGTGTGTGAGTGTATATTACAGTGTAACACTCTCTCACTGAGCTCACGCCGCCGCCATCTTGGTTGACCTTTGCCCCAGTTTCCGGCGGATGTCACAGGTGGATGGCAGACGTCACTTCCTGCCGGTGGGCCCGGTAACCGGAGCCGGGAACAGCGACCGGGGCCCGAGACACCCCAGACCGCCCCCCCCCCCCCCCCAGGCCCGGCTCCCCCCCGCCTCAGCCTCAGCCTCAGCACCGGCCCAGGCCCAGGCCTCAGGTAAGAGCAGCTCACACTCACTGTACACACTGCACACACTCACTGTACACACTGTACACACTCACTGTACACACTGCACACACTAATAATACAGTGTACACAGTGTACACACTGCACACACTAATAATACAGTGTACACAGTGTACACACTGCACACACTAATAATACACTGTACACACTGTACACACTGCACACACTGTACACACTGCACACACTGCACACACTCACTGTACACACTGCACACACTCACTGTACACACTGCACACACTCACTGTACACACTCACTGCCCACACTCACTGTACACACTGTACACACTCACTATACACACTCACTGTACACACTGCACACACTCACTACACACTCACTGTACACACTGCACACACTCACTACACACTCACTGTACACACTGCACACACTCACTGTACACACTGCACACACTGTACACACTCACTGTACACACTGCACACTCACTGTACACACTGCACACACTCACTACACACTCACTGTACACACTGCACACACTCACTGTACACACTGCACACACTGTACACACTCACTGTACACACTGCACACACTCACTGTACACACTGCACACACTGTACACACTCACTGTACACACTGCACACACTCACTGTACACACTGCACACACTGTACACACTCACTGTACACACTGCACACACTCACTGTACACACTGCACACACTGTACACACTCACTGTACACACTGCACACACTCACTGTACACACCACACACTCACTGTACACACTGCACACACTGTACACACTCACTGTACACACTGCACGCACTCACTGTACACACTGTACACACTCACTATACACACTCACTACACACTGCACACACTCACTACACACTCACTGTACACACTGCACACACGGTACACACCACACACTGTACACACTGTACACACTCACTATACACACTCACTACACACTTCACACACTCACTACACACTCACTGTACACACTGCACACACTCACTGTACACACTGCACACACTGTACACACTGCACACGCTCACTGTACACACTCACTGTACACACCGCACACACTCACTGTACACACTGCACACACTGTGCACACTGTACACACTCACTGTACAAACTGTACACACTCACTGTACACACAGTACACACTGTACGTACTCACTGTACAAACCGTACACACTCACTGTACACACTCACTGTACACACTCACTGTACACACTGTACATACTCGCTGTACACACTCACTGTACACACTGTACACACTCGCTGTACATACTCACTGTACACACTGTACAAACTCACTGTACACACTACACATTCACTGTACACACTCACTGTACACACTGTACACACTCACTGTACACACTCACTGTACACACTCACTACACACTGTACACACTCACTATACACACTCACTGTACACACTCCCTGTACACACTCACTCTTCACATTCACTGTATACACTGTACACAGTCACTGTACACACTGTATGCACTCACTGTACACACTCACTGTACACACTGTACAAACTCATTGTACACACTCACTGTACACACTACACAGTCACTGTACACACTCACTGTACTCACTGTACACGCACTGTACACGCAATGTTACACACTCACTGTACACACTCACTGTACACACTGTATACATACACACTCACTGTACACACTCACTGTACACACTGTATACATACACACTCACTGTACACACTATAAACATACACACTCACTGCACTGTACACATACACACTCACTGTACACATGCACTGTACAAACTATAAACATGCACGCTCACTGTACACACGCACTGTACACACTATGAATACAGACTGACTGTTCACATTCACTGTACACACTACACATACACACTCACTACACACTACATACACACTCACTGTACACACTGCACACATACTCACTGTACAAGCTCATTGTACACGCTACACATACACATTCACTGTACACACTCACTGTCCACACTCACTGTACACACTGTATACATACGGTGGGGGGGAGGTAGCTGTAAGCACGGTCGAAGAGGAAGGTCTTCAGGCGGGACTTGGAAAAAGGGGAGAGAGGTGGCAAGGTGGAGGAATTGAGGGAGAGTGTTACAGAGTTTCGGGGCATAGTGGCTGAAAGCGTGACCTCCGATGGTGGGGCGGAGGGCACGAGGGACGAGTAGGAAGCTGGTGCTAGTTGAGTGGAGGCTCCGGGTGGTGGAATGGGAAGTGAGAAGGTCGGAGAGGTAGGGAATGAAGGGATTTGAACACAAGTGTGAGGATCTCGAAGTTGATCCGTTCTGTGATGGGGAGCCAGTGGAGCTTGGGCCAGAACTCGTGGGATGTGGGCCCGGAGTTTGGTCTGGGTCAGTATGCGGGCGGCAGAGTTCTGAATGAGCTGGATCTTTTGAATAGTGGAGCTGAGGAGACAAGCGATGTGTGCATTTGAGTTATCCAAGCGGGAGGTGACAAACGCATGCACGAGGGTTTTGGCTGAATTTGGGGTCGTAGGTGAGCAATGTGGCAGTGGTGGAAGAAACACACTGTACGCATATACACATACGTACACACACTGTGCACATACACAACAATAAATTACATTTGTATATCGCCTTTCACGTCAGGATGATGTCCCAAGTCGCTGTGCACACACACACTCACACACACTGTACATTTACACACACAGTACACATATTCACACACACTATGTACACACACACTATACACACACTATGTACACACACACAAGCTGTACACATTCACACTACAAATACTCACAAACACAGATTGTACACACACGCAGTACACTCACACACACTGTACATACACTAACACAGTGTACACACTAAGCAAGCACTCTTCAGAAATCCATATATAGAGAATATATAGAGTTATTTATAGAGAGCACACATATAGAGAATGTATTATATATAAGGAGAGAGAAATGGAACATATATATTTATACAATCCAAAATTACATTTGTTTAGTGACTATCATGTCAGGAGGACATCCCAAGGTGCTGGATAGTCAGGAATTTGAACCTGAGCGAGGGTAGGGAATGTTGGGAACAGAGAGGATGGAGGGCAGGGAAGGTAGGGTAGGAGGGTTGCCGATGGCGCGGTTGAAGAGGAGGGTCGTGAGACGTGCCTTGAAGGAGGCAAGGGAGGGAGCGAGGCAAAGGAACTGTGGGATGGAATTCCAAAGGGTGGAGGCACAGAGGCTGAAGGCCCGACTGTTGATGGTGGGGCGAGCCGGGCAGGGGATGTGGAGCAGGCTGGAGCCTGCTGAACGGAGGGAGCGGACAGGTTGGTAAGGGGTTAGCAGGTCACAGAGATAGGAAGTAGAAAGCCCGTGGAGGTCCTTGAAGGCAAGGATGAGGATTTTGAACTCTATCCTCTGGGGGCTGGGGAGCCAGTGGAGCTGGGTGAGAGTGGGTGTGACAGGGTCACAGAGCCTGGGGTGAGAGAGGACACGAGCTGCAGAGTTCTGGATGATTTGCAGCTTGTGGAGAGTTGGAAGGCCGATAAGCATTGAGTTGGCGAAGTTGAATCTGGATGTGATGAATGCATGAATAAGGGTTTTGGTGGCCTAAGGGATGGAATAGTGGCGGAGCCGGGTGATGTTGCGGAGGTGGAGGAAGACAGAGCGGGTCATGGCACGGATGTGGGGGAGAAAGGACAGTTGAGGGTCAAACAAGACGCCCAGGTTCCGGAGTGACTCCAGTGAGGTGGAGTGTCATTCAATGGATTGGTGGCGCTGACAGGAGCCAATCAGGAGGGCCTCGGTCTTGTTGACGTTCAACTGTAGAAAGTTAGCTCTCATCCAGGACTTTATGCTGACAGACATTCTGTCAGGACAGCAGTGGTCCTGGTGTCAAGGGTGGAGGCAGAGAGAGAGAGTTGTGTGTCATCTGCATACATGTGGAAACTGGTCCCATGTCTGCGAATGTCACCGAGATATTGAAAAGGAGGGGACCAAGGACAGAGCCCTGAGGAACTCCGCACGAGACGGTTCAGGGGCTGGCAAGAGGAGAAGCTGTTTGTGGAGATGAAGTGGAGATGGTGTGAGCGGTAGGATTTGAACCATTCATAGATAGAACCATGAAGGTTGAAGTGGGAGAAGAGGCAATGGAGGAGGATAGAGTGGAGAATGGTATCAAAGGCAGCAGAGAAGTCAAGGAGGACGAGGAGGCAGAGGTCCTGGTCGCAAATGTCTTTTGTCACTGACAAAAACTGTTTCTGTGCTGATTGGAGGGGTTCGTGAAGGGAGTGGCGGGAGAGGAAAGAGTGAAGCTGGGAAGCAACAACTCGTTCCAGCACCTTGGAAAGGAAAGGGAGGTTGGACATGGGCGGTGTTTGAAAGGAGGGATGGGTCCAGGGAGGGTTTCCTTGGCTGTTTCTACAACAACAACAACAACAACAAAATTACATTTATAGAGGGCCTTTTACGTCGGGAGGATGTCCCAAGGCACTGGACAGTCGGGTCAGGACCCGAGCATGGGGTGGGGAGGGATGGGGTAGGGGTGAGGGAAGGCAGAGAGGTGGGAAGGCGGCCGAAGGCACGTTCGAAGAGGAGGGTCTTGAAAACGACCTTGAAGGAGGCGAGGGAGGAAGCGATGCGAAGGGACTGAGAGATGGAGTTCCAGAGTGTGGTGGCAGAGAGGCTGAAAGCTCGGCCACCGATGGTAGGGTGGGTTGGGCAGGAGCAATGAAGCAGGCTGGAGCTCGCTGAACGGAGGGAGCGGGCAGGTTGGTAGGGAGTCAGCAGGTCAGAGAGGTAGGAGGGGGCAAAGACATGGATGGCCTTGAAAGTGAGGACAGGGATCTTGAATTCGATCCTCTGGGGGATGGGGAGCCAGTGGAGTCGGGCGAGGGTGGGAGTGATGGGGTCACGGAGCCTGGTGCGCGAGAATACATGAGCTGCAGAGTTTTGGATGATCTGCAGCTTGTGAAGGGAAGAGTTGGGAAGGCCGATGAGGAGGGAGTTCCCGTAATCGAGCCTTGATGTGGCGAATGTGTGGGTGAGGGTCTTGACAGCCTGAGCGGTGAGGCAGTGGCGGAGTCTGGCAATGTTGCGGAGGTGGTGGTAAGCAGTGTCGGTCATGGCGCGGATGTGGGGGAGAAAGGACAGTTCAGGGTCAAACAAGACATCCAGGTTCCTGACTGCCTTAGTGAGGTTGAGTGTGCAGCCGTGGAGGCTGATGCTGCCAGTGGCGCGAGCCAATCGGGAGGGCCTCGGTCTTGCTGACGTTCATTTGAAGAAAGTTGTCTCCTGTCCAGAACTTGATGTCGGACAGGCAGTCGGTCAGAAAGCCAGTAGTCCTGGAGTTGAGGGTGGAGGCAGAGAGATAGAGTCGGGTGTCATCCGCTTTCATGTGGAAATTTACCCCATGTCTGCGGATGATGTCACCAAGGGGGAGCATGTAAAGGCTGAAGAGGAGAGGACCGAGGACAGAGGCCTGAGACTGTGTGGAGGCTGGAGGAGAAGCCGTTTGCTGAGATGAAGTGGAGGTGGTGTGAAAGGTAGGACCTGAACCAGTCAAGGACAGAACCTTGGAGGTTGAGGTGGGAGGAGAGGCGGTGGAGGAGGATTGAATGGTCTGCATTATCAAAAGCGGCAGAGGGTCGAGGAGGACGCGGAGGCAGAGGGAGCCCTGGTCACACATGGTCAGGATGTCATTTGTGACTTTGATCAGAGCAGACCAGAGCATACCGATTGGAGGGGCTCATGGAGGGAGTGGGAGGAGGGTCAAGAGCGAAGCTGGGAGACAACGGCTGTCTCAAGGACCTTAGACAGAAAAGGAAGGTTGGAGATGGGCCGGTAGCTGGGTAGCTGTGATGGATCAAGGGAAGGTTTCTTCAAGGTGGGGGTGATAGTGGCTGTTTTGAGGGGAGTAGGAACAGTGCCATATGACAGGGAGTGGTCGGTGTGGTTGATGATGTCGGCGAGTAGTGGCGCAAGGAGGTGGAGTTGGCATTTAAGGAGAGGGGTGGGGATGGGGTCCGGAAGCAGGTGGTGCGCTTCATGGAGGGGTGGGAACGGTGCCAGTGGACAGGGAGAGGTTTATGATGTCTGTGAGGAGGGGGACAAGGAAGTGAAGCTGCGAGGTAAGGAGATGGGTAGGGATGGGGTCGAGGGAGCAGGTGGTTGGTTTCATCTGGGTTATGGTGGTGATGAGGGAGGAGGGGGAGACAGGTTTGAAGGTGTGGAGGGAGGGATGGGTAGGGGCTGGAGTGTGAGGGGGAGATGGGGAGGGGTAGTGGTCGGAAGGGCAGAGGCAGGTAAGGCAGATCCCCTTGACTTTGGTTTAAATACCTGAAAAACGCAGCTCCAGGAGGCAGGGGCAAGGGCAGGTCAATGGGACTGAAAGGATTTGCTCTTAAAAGAGTAGTACAGACACGGTGGACCAAATGGCTGCCTTCTGTGCCGTAAATTTGATTGTAAGTGTCCTCCAGTCACTGATTCCCCAAACAGTGCAGAGCTTCTCCCCATTTACCCTCATCGTTGTGTCTGTCTCAATCAGGTCCCCTCACAACCTCCTCTGCTCCAGTGCCAAAGTCTCTCTCCCCTCTCACGTGGGAGTGTTTTGTTTGTGTGTGGGAACATGTGTGTATGTGTGGGAATGCGCGCGCGTGTGTGTGTGTGTGTGCTCACGCGTGTGCATGTGAGCATGTGTGAGCTGACTGCTCCTTTCTGGGTTACAGTTACCTCAGAGCCTGTGTGAGGACGTGGCATGCTGTGTGTGTGTGTGTGCGGCGTTGGCATGTGGCCAGGGATACCTGTGTGATGGGAGGGACTGGTCAGGTCCAGGACGTGTCCGGGATGTGGCAGCGGAGGCGAGGCGTGTGGTGGGGGGGGGGTGGGGTGGGGGGAGCCGGACTGCAGCCAAGCTCTCAGAAACACTCCCTCAGCAAGGGGAGAGAGAGAGAGAAAGAGAAAGGTGTGTGTGGCTCTGCTCCTCGTGGGACAATGTTAATGTGTAACCACAGCCCTCTCCCGTACTGTAGTTCGGTGAGTTTTCACAGCCAGCAAAGAGCCATAAACCAGCCGGCCCGACACCAAAGCCAATGTGTGCTGGCAGCTGGTTACAGGGCGGGCAGTGTGGGCTCAGTGCTTGGAAGACAGGCAGTGTCACTGTGCAATTTGGGAGGGAGAGGCTGTGTTCTGGGCTGGACAGCGAAAAACTGGACAGTGTGTGTCTGCGTGTGTCTGTGTGTGCGCGCGTGTCCCCGTGAGCGTGTGCATGTGTGCGTGTGTGCGTGTGTGTGTGTGTGTGTCACTGTGTATGAGTGAGTGTGCGTGTGTGTATATATATATGTTGTGTGTGTGTGTGCATGTGAGAGTGTGTGAGAGAGAGTGTACGTGAGGCCAGACCTAGGCCGACAGTAATACACAGTGGTAATTCCTGGCTGACAAGAGGCAGTGACAGAGAACCAGGAACAAGACCATGTCTTTCCCCACAGATTAAAAGGTTTAGTGACCAGTAGAGGCTGGTGGCGAGTTTACAGATTGGCAGGTATGTTGTCACAGTAACCCCAGCCCGCTCTGTGGTTAAACCTTGTAATCCCTCCACGTGTGCAGTGACACACTCGATCCAGTCAGGCAGCCCAGTTCAACCCCCACTGGAGCTGTCTCCTCTAATCCCATCCCCTGCTCTCTCTCTCTCTCTCCCCATCGTGTCTGTGCTGGTACTCGCTCCCCACTGGAGTTCTCTGCTCTAATCCCCCCACAGTGTCAGTGCCGGTGCTCACTCCTCTTTCTCATTGCCCTGCCTTATGGCCATACACCTAATCCCTTCCCCAGTCTCTGTCTCAGTTAAGGATACCTGGTGATCCCACCTATGCAGCTCGGGGCTGAGGCTCCACATCCTCTTCAGCCTCTGTGTGTGAGAATCGCTGCCTAGCTCATCTCTAACCGTCTTCGCTCTGAGTTTAAGACTTGGACCCTCTCCCAGAGAGCATCTAACCTCTTATTATTATATGATTACTCTTGACTCTTGTGAAATTGCCAGCGTGGCCTTCTCTCAGGCTGCGGTGAGCGGCGCCTGCTGTCCGCACAATTGGCTGATGTGTCCCAGGGGGATTGCAGCCACAGGCTCCTACGTTCGAGCTCCCATCGTGGTGTCTGCTTCTCCCACAGCTGAACAATGACGGACGGAATCATGGGCAAAGCGGCCACCATGGAGATTGGCATCAATAGGAACGGGGCCGCAGGAGGCCTGGCCGAGGATGATAGCCTGGAGCAGGTATGGCCCACAATGACATCAATAACAACACATTACATTTACACAGAGCCTGCCACGTCGGGAGGACATCACAAGGCACTGGACAGTCAGGAATTTGGACCTGGGCTGGGGGTTGGGATCAGGGTAGGTGGAAGGTAGGGAAGGTGGGGGTTGGAGGGTGACCAAAGGCGTGATTGAACACGAAGGGCTTGAGGCAGGCCTTGAAGTCCAGTGGGGAGCGAGCATCAGCACAGACACACTGGGGAGAGAGCAGGGAATGGGATTAGAGGAGAGAGCTCCAGTGGGGGGAGCGAGCACCAGTACAGACACGATGGGGAGAGAGAGCAGGGAATGGGGGAAGTGGGCAGGTTGTTTTATAGGAAGTTGGGGGTAGTGCCGGGCTATTGGCACAGTACCTGGTGAGGTGCTGCCCTGACTGGCTATCCTACAGGCAGCAGGTTTGCTGGGTGAGATTAAGACTCCACGCTCTGAGTGAGATTTCACTCGGGAGCCTAGACAGTGACATGGGTGAGGAGATGGAGAGAGAGAGAGAGAGAGAGAGAGGAGAAACAAGATGATGTCAGAATGAAAGACAGGCATTACAAACACATGCCCATGTAACAAACACAAACACACACAACTAACATACGCACATCCAATAATCATACACAGCTAACACACACACACACAATAATCACAGACATACACAACATACACACGCAATAATCATATATGCATAAACACACACAACTAACATACACACTCAATAATCATATGCACACACAAACACACAGAACTAACATACACACACAATAATCATATACACAAACACCATAAGCACTCACACAGTAACAATGGTGAGGAGTGACGTTGTCAGTGTAGGACAAGAGAACAAACCTTCCTCACTCACAGCCCCCACTCCAACAACAACAACAAGATTCCATTTATAGAGCGCCTTTCACGTCGGGAGGACGTCCCAAGGCGCTGTACAGTTGGGTCAGGACCCGAGCAGGGGGGAAATGGTCAGGGTGAGGGAAGGGAGCGAGGAGGGGGTAGAGAGTCGAGAGGGGAGCTGAAGGCACGGTCAAAGGGAAAGGTCTTGAGACCGGCCTTGAAGGAGGAAAGGGAGAAGGCCCATCACCCTGCCCAACCGAACCCCCCCTACCCACATCAACCCCGACATCCCCTCCCATCCCACCCAACATCAACCCCGACGTCCCCTCCCACCCCACACCAACTCTGACATCCCCTCCCACCCGCCCCACACCAACCCTGACACCCTCCCCACCAACACCAACCCTGGCATCCCCTCCCCGCCCGCCTCTCGGACACAAGGGGACCTAATACCATGACTACACTGTCCTGTCTCACACTGTAACAAAGGCTGCTACTGGCTCTGCACATCCTGACTCTGGGCACCAGAGTGAAGAGAGACTTCCTGTCCTGAGGCATGGCTACAGCCCTTTCCTCCCTCACACACTGCGCGGTCGACAACTCAGCTGCAAGTGAAAAGTACACATTAGTGATTCACAGCTCGGGGTGATGTGTGTGTGTGTGTGTAACAGTGGACTGTGTGTGTGTGTGTGTAACAGGGGACTGTGTATTTGTGTAAAACTGGAAACTGTGTGTGTAACGGGACTGTGTGTGGGTGTGTATGTGTGACAGGGATTGTATGTGTAACAGGGGACTGTGTGCGTGTATAAAACAGAGAACTATATGTGTGTGTGGGTGTGTGCAACAGCGGACTTCATCTCCACAAAGTTTTTCCTCGTTCCCACCCACTCACCTTGCCAGATAGTGATATCAATGGCAAGCTATGCGGATTTAGCTGGATGGACTCCAGCAGTGGTTTTAGCTGGTTAGACTCCAACTCACACTCTGGAGTCCTCAAGCATGGCTCTTGCAAACCTGCACCTAATACTTTCCGGAATTGGGTAAGCAGGATATCCCTCCAGGGAGAGAGAGTGCACATTCCATTCCAACAATCTATCTCTGGGATTTCTATGTGTAGGTGACACACACACACATATATATATGTGGAACTCGGTCCCTTAAGTACAACGCCGAGCTTCTGCATATCTCAGACACCCGGTTTCTGCGTGTGTCATGACACACGCCTGATGGCATGGGTCTGTCAGACACACAGTGAGCAGAACAACCACAGGTAGGTTTCTAATCTCCCCAGCTCAGAACTGCAATACAAGCTGCTGATGATGGGGAGGAGCTGTGGGCTGATTGGAGACCGAGCCAGCACACTGAGCCTGTGGGCCAGGCCAGGTACTTTTCACTTTATTGTTTGGACATGTAATTGTTTAACTGAGCTGAGCGACTGGTTTCTCCAGTTTAATCTCCTCCCCCTTCCCACTGCCACACAGGCTCTGTGTCCACCCCCCACCCTTGCCTGCCAAACCTGACCTCATACTCCTAATAATAATGATAATCTTGGCCTTTGATACAGTGCCTCATCACGATGTTGAGACGTCTCAAAGTGTTTCACAGTGTGTACTGCAAAGTGAATTGACTGTATCTTGTGGGCGAAACGCAGCAGTGGGGGAGGGGGCAGTCAGCATAGAACATGGCTGGTCAGTGTTGTCTCGAACAAGTGAACTTTTCATCAGCCTGCCCATCCCCGTCCACCCATCCACCCCACACATTCCGCACCCCATGCACTGCCTACCTGTGATTGCAGCGGTGGAAATGATGCCCTCGGCAGTCCCCCATACCCTCCTGACACAATGCTGGTCTCGTTCAGGTTGGGCCCCGAAACCATAATCTGCTGTAAATCCTGGAGCACATAGCGGGGGAGAGGGGGTGGGGGAGAGGGGGCGGGGTAGAAGTGGCCGAAGAGAGAGAGGGTGTAGAGGAAGAGGGGGGCAATAGAGTGGGGAATGGGGGGAAGAGAGAGAGGGGGGCAGTAAAATATCAACTCACAAACACAACATTAACCCCACTGAAAACACCCACCGCTACTCTGTTCATCCTCGTGCAGCTGAGTATCTGTTGTTGTCTGCTCATCTGGCTGTGGCCTCCTGCGTATCCCTCATCTCCTCTGCTCCACCACCAGGGGCCGTGCTTTCAGCCACTATGTCCTGAAGCTTTGGAACTTCCTTCCCCAATCCCTCCGCCTTTCCCCCTCCTTCCACTCTTTCAGATCACAACTGAATAACTTCCTCTTCGACCTTGCTCACAGTCACCTCCTCCCTCCCCCCAGCTTGGTGTCAGACTCTGCCACTGATAAGCCCTCCAAGACGCTGCCCCCCATGATGGGCGCTGTGTAAATGTTGTTGTTAACTGCAGAGCTACAGTGCCAGATTCCAAACTCCATACCACACTCCCTTCGCCTCCCTTACC